AAAAAAAAAAAAAAAAAGTAAAAAAGGAAAATACATTTTTAATGAATGTTTATAACTGGTCAGATAAATTAAATATGCAACATAGAAATTAAATACATTCACAGATACTGAAAAATGCCAAGCATTAAGAGATTTATGGTTTTCTTTTGATCAGAATGAGGAAAGCGGTCATAATCATCTGCTACTATTCGTAAAATTGTTAGTTGAATGGGTGCATGGATAAACCGCAGCAGTGACTTTATTGACATTTGGTTGACCAGAAAACCAGAAATACTTTTTTTGCAAAAGAAATTTTTGCCTTGGTGCAGAAGCAAGAAAAAACACTAGTAATCTATGCACTGTGTAGTAAGGCAGTCTGCCTGACAAATCGTAGCAAACAGTTTTTTATGTCAAGAGGTGACTATGAAAGAAGATATCAACAAGAAGCTTGAGGACGATGACCACTGAGTTGTTATTGAGTAGAGAACAAGACGAGAGAGGTAAGTGGGTAATTTAGAGGTGACATCATAATTATCTATTGTAAGTACAGAATCAGCTTTAAGTTGTTAATTTTATTTCCACTTGGTGGTTTGTTTATGTTTTCTCCGACAGCAGTTTCCGTCTTAATCCGTCCCCGTTTTCCTGTTGCCCTGGTCCCCGCTATATCTTACTTTCTGTTCCGCCTTTTTACCCCAACTTCTCAACTGCCTTTTTATGTCTTACTTTTTTATTTTTTTTATCATCTACTATACCATTAACTAAAGTTAAGAGCTATAAATATGATCAATAAACGAACACTTAATCATTAGTTTTTAGCTGTAAAGAATGGGAAAGAGGGTTAGTTTGCTTGTTAGCTAAAATGGTTTTTTTAAACCCTGGTGAAGAATATCTATAAATTAAGATTTTTCTGTTTGAAGACGCAAAAGCACTAAAAATAAACGAGGAAATCGAAAGACATGCAAAAAGCAATTTACTTTTTGCTCTTCTTCTTTTTTTTATTTATTTGCTTTTTTTTTCGTTGTTAAATTTGTTTTTTCTGTTCTTTATCTTCTTCAAAATTTCTTTTTTTATAGCTTTTACTGTTGTTGTCAAAGAAAAAAAAAAGAAAAAAAAATGGATATTTATATCATAAACGAGGCGATAACGTTAAAGTGATAGATATTAGAAAAAATTTGTTGACTTGATATTTTGAGGTTAATTGATTCTGTGTTTAATAAATT